ATTTTGCAATTTTGAATTCATTGTATCATGACTGATGAGAGCGATAAAAAGATTAAGAGGAACAGCAAGTGCTCACCTCGAGACCATAATCATGTTCTTGCAAAGCAAGCACTTGACAAAAGCTCCTTTAGGTGTCATCTTTGATGTGGGTTTGTTCACTTGCTCTGAAGACAATCAAATCATATTTTCTCAAATGACTCTCAAATAGGGTGATTATCCAACCAATTGCAATGTAATCCAGAAGTTCTGCATCTGAATCCGGTCTATCGACGGCGCAGAGCGGCTCAACTTCCTTGTCAAAGCTGACCTGCTCTGAAGATGTTTTAATATCAAAATATAGCTAATGCTTCAAAGGAAAAAAAACGTTACCCAGAGGAGAGCTAGGCCCTGATGATTCCCTCATATCTAAAGCATCACTTCTACTTTTTGGAGATTTCGATCTTTCATCAGATCCTCCAAGAAGATCTGCAGCAGAAACTTCCTCAAAAAAAGGCATTTCATCAGGGGTGTCGACGACATCAGTGCCCTCCTCCTTAGCCGCTTTAAAAAGCGAAGGAGAAGGTGGATCTGAATAGCAGAAGTGGAGGAGAGATTAAAACAATGAAATGTAATTGTAAAAATTTGGAGGAAAACGACTGGATAAACTTGAAAAGATATGTTAAGAAGTTGTGCCATTCCGTCTACACAGAAACCAAAAAAATAGCAACTAGTATATTATGAACAATAAGATTCACCTTTTCCACTCTGAGTTTGGGAATTAGTGATCCCAGATCCTAACTCTTGCTTCTGCTGCTTTTCTGGTGTTTTTGGCGCTGATTCCTTCTTAGAGGATCGCTAAACACATTTTAGAAGTAAAACTGATCTATGAAAGAAATGAACCCACCTGGAAATCCGGGTGATCCTTTAGGCTATTCAAGAATACAAAACTGTTGAAGCCATTATCAACCTAAACTTTCTCCTATAAGCTTCATGAAAAATGCAGCAATTAGTGCGACTAACCAGTAAGTCATAAAGTTGGTCACCGGTACTACAGTCAATGTCGATGACAGCATAGCGGAAACTAAAAAGAAAACATCAAAGGATCTACAGGCTAAAGCCAACAACTCTC